AATTCATTTGCATTTGTCTATGTGTTGTTTTAATACCAGGACCATACTATTTTGCTTGCTAGAGTTTTGAAATATAGTTTGATTCAGGAAATGTGATGCCTACAGCTTTGCTTGCCATTCTCAAAATCCCGTTGACTATTCTGCATCTTATGTGGCTCATAAGAATTTTAAGATTTTTTTTATTACTGTAAAGTGACCCATTGGAATCATGATAGGGATTGCATTTCAATGTATTTGTGAATTTCCCAACTTTTCTCTTGTTACTGATTTCTAGTTTTATAACATCATGGTTGGAAAAGACACAATATAATTTTTGTCTTCTTGAATGTGTTGAGACTTATTTGTTGCCTAACATATAATTTATCCCAGAAGATGTTTGTGTCTCCTTAAGGAAAATGTGTATTCTGTTACTGTTGGATGAAATCTTCTGTATATATCTCTTAGGTTCATTTGGGCTGTAGTGTCATTCATATCTGAGGTTTTCTTATTAATTCTCAATGATCTAGCCACTGTTGACAGTGGGGTATTAAACTTCTCCACTATTATTCATTCTTGTCTTATTGTTTTTTGTACAGACATTGTTCCTGGCTTTCTTACTGTCCTCTCTGGTGATTTGCTCATTTGTGGCAATATACTTTGTCTCATATACCATAATCTTTGGAGTATGTGCTACAGGTTTTTGCTTTGTGGTTATCATGATGCTTAATAAAATATCATGTATTTGTAATTTTTATTTTAAGCTGATAACAACTTGAATTTGATAACATAAAGAAACTTTATAGTTTTACTTCTCCCCACTTATATTTAGATTATAGAGATCAGAATTTACTTTTTTTTATCCTCAACTGAGGATATGTCAATTGACGTGATGAGAGGCAGAGAGAGAGAAAGAAAGAGATGTGGGGTAGAAACAATGATGTGAGAGAGAAACATCAGTCTGTAGCCTCTCGTATGTACCCTGACTGGGACCAAACCTGCAACATAGGCATCTGCCCTGGGGGAACCAAACCTGCAACTTTTTTCCATTCATGGCATGATGTTTCAAATCCAACTGAATCACACAAGTCAAGGCTACATCTTTTTAACATTGTGTACCCAATAATGAATTATTATAGTTCTGGATATTTTTTAATACAGTTGTTTTTTTTAACTTTTAAAGTATAGTTGTAATGGATTATATAACACCATTACAGTATCAGAGAATCTGACTTCAACTGTATATTTACAGTCACAGGAAGTTTTATTCACTGATATGTTTTTATGACGTTAATTAACATCCTTTTATTTTAGCTTGAAGGAAGCCCTTTAACTTTTCTCATAAGACAGGTCTACTGGTGATGAATGCGTTCAGTTTCAGTTTGTTTGGGAAAGTCTACTTCTCCTTTATTTCCTAAGGACAACTTTGCTGGGTACTATATTTAGTTGATGGATTTTTTCTTTCAGTGTATTGAATATATCATTCCTCTTTCTCCTGCCTGAAAATTTGTATTGAGAAATCCACTAATGTTCTTATGTGAGTTTTTCACAAGTCACTTTTGTCTTGCTACCTTTAAAATCCTCTCTCTGTCTTTGACTTTGAACCCACAAAGTGTGTGTGGGTTGCCCTTTTCAGCTTCTCCCTATTGGGTCTATTGGGCTTCATGGAACTGAAAGTCCATTTTGCTCCATGCATGGTAAATTTTCCACCATTATTGTTTTAAACACACTTTACATTTCTTTTACTCTTCTCCTTCTGGGATTCCCATAATGCTAATATAGTTTTCTTATTAATGTCTTATAAGTCCTGTAGGCATTTTTCACTTTTTTAGCTCTTTGGCTTGCTCCTCTGACTGCATAATTTTAAATAACCTTTCTTGTAGTTCCCTGACTCTTTCCCCTGCTTGACTGGGTCTGCTGTCACAGCTTACTATTAAGTACTTCCGTGCATTTAATGTTTGCTTCATTGTAGGATTTTTGGTGTTCTTTTGTAATTTCTTTTTTTTGTTAAATTTCTCATTTTTTCATTTAGTTAGCTGTCTGTGGGATCTTGTACTTCATTAACTTCTTTAAGAGGATTCTTCTAAATTTTTTGTCAGACAGTTTATAGATTTCCATGTTTTAGGGTAGTTATTATAGTTTATTAGTTTTCTTTTGCACTGCCATGTTTACCTAAAATTTCATTCCTGTGTTGGTATCAGTGCATATAATTAAGCGGTCTCCTTTTCCCAAATTTACAGACTTTCTTCACCAAAAAAAATGGTTTCATTAGTCAGCTCAGTTTGGAACACAGGACAGGGAGATGATAAGATCCATAGGGAGGTGGGGAAAGTTATCAGGGTCTTTGTTGGGAAGGCCATTGCCTGTGCTCTGAAGGTGGTGACTGGAAGCTGGCTGAACTGTGTTTTGGTGGCTCTGCTGATTGGGCTCCCCTGATCAAGTCAGGCTGCTAGCTGTGCTCTGAGGCTAGATGGGCTTAGCAATCACCTATATTTGGGTGACGTTTCAGATTGTTTCATGGTATGGTAGTGCCTTGTAGGACTCTGAAAATGGTCGGGATTACAAGCTGGGCTTTACAATGGTTCCTGTGTGGGTGGAGTTTCTGACCATGTTCCCTAGCTTGATGGTGTCTCTAGCTGGATTTCATGTTCAGTTGAGGCAACAAGGAGAGCTTCATAGTCATAGTGGGTGTTGAAATGTGATCTGAGATCTGGTGAGGCCAATGGTTGTTTCCTGAAGTTGGCCAGGTTACAGGCTGGGCTACAAAATAAGTTACCATAAATTGCTAGCGGTGCTCTGCTATTGGATGTGGTTATTGGCAAGATTTTCTAGTTGGGAGAGGCCTCCAGCTCCATCCTACAGTTGGGTGGGGATAGAGACTGTTACACAGGTGGGCAGAATCACTCTCCTGTCTCCCTCATTGGATGGGTTACAAACTGTGCTCTATGATTGTGTGGGCTCATTGACTAGCTCCATGAATGGGTGAGGCCACAGTCTGTGTTAGTCAATTGGACAGGGTCATAGCCTGGGGCTGTCTTGCTAGAAAGAATTATAGACCTGGCTCCACATATCAGCTGAACCATAGGCTTGCTGTCAAGGCTGCCAGGGTTCTCTGGCAAAGCCTTCAAAATGGCCAGGACTAGAACTATACTCAACAGTTGAGTGGGCCTGCAAATATGCTTCTCTGATTGGCCTGGGTAGTAGAATGGGCTCTATGGTTGGTACAGTGTGACTAGGGACCCAATTCAGGTAAAACTGCCAACTGAGCTCTCTGGTCAGATGGTATTGTTGCAGAAAATCACTTTCACACTTAGGGAGATAATGAAGCACAAACTTTATTATGCACATGGGCTCAAGGGGGAGGTGTTAATTTCCCAAAATCCTGAGCCCCCGATTTTTATTTTCCTGCGGTTTAAATAGTCCCAGGCTTCCTGCCTATGTGGTGAAGCAAAGTTACAGAAGCTAAATGCGGAAGTTAGGTCTAGTTACCTCATATGGGAGACAAAGGAGCAAAATGCAGGAGGAAAAATTTGCAGAAGCTACAGAGCACAGGAGCTTATCATGGGAGTTAGTGTATGACCTTGAGATGACTGGCCATTGCCTTGGTGACGGCTCCTTACCTATTTGCAAGTGTTACAGAGCATAGAAACTTTTTCATGGGGGGTTTCTTTTCCTGCTACAGTATGAGTAGCTTTGAAGAGCAGAAGAGCAGACCAGTCATTGGGCTCTGTCTTAAAGGACTTCTACAAGCAGGATGCAGTCCACCCAGTCCTGAGTTCTGGGTGCTAAAAGGCTCCCCTTTGCTCACATTTCTATTAGTCATCTAGTAGCGAGAAATCACCTAGCTTTTTGCTTAAGCCAGACTGCTGAATCACATGGACATGGAATGGGGATTACAACCTTTGCCTCCTTAAATCTTTGCAGGTGGCACCAACCTATATCATTCCCTCCTTTTCCAGGGGTACGATATTGCCTTCAACTTACTATTTTCACCAAAGAATACTTCCGTTTCAGAGCCTTCCATCTGGCCTTCCCTTGGACAGTTGTTATTTCCTAGGTTAAGAAATGATAGGGTAAAAAACCAGGTTGGCCAACTGCTATGTGTGTCCTTATTATACATTTGAAATCATGGGAGATGACTGCTGGGTGGTTCCATGGATTGAGTGGACTCACTGTTAGATGGACATCACCTTACTTTCATAAATGTCTTCTAACAGGGGCCGTTATGATGTTTTGGGCTCCTAGATATCAACTGAGACACTCTATTAAAAACTCTTAATATTTCTGTGTATTTTCTTTATCATGCATTTGGCTATTTGAATAATTTGCCATAGGTCTCCTTGCTGGAGAACTCAGGGAATTATTACTGTGTACAATCTGCACACTCCTTTCTTGTAAGAACTGCCCTCATTTCCATCCACAGACTATGGGGCAAGTATTGGCCTAGTCCATGCCTAGGACTGGCTTGCTAAGACCATTATGTTAAGGTGGGTTCCCTAAAAGCAAAGCCTGAGATAAAGTCTCTTGAATAAGTAATTTATTGTGAGAATTCTCTTGGGAGGAAGAGGGTAAGGGAAGCTGGATACCATGGAGGGGAAAGCTAAGTAAGGATGTGCTCTCAGCGGGACAATAGCTCTAGCCTGAATCCCTGGGGGCATGGGAACACAATCACTGCACATAGTTGGTTCATCTTTGGGGATGGGGACCAACCCCCAGGCCAAAGAGATGTAACTTTCAGGTGATTATGGTTCCATTTGCCCAAAGCAATACCCTGGGGAGAGGTGGCATGGCAGCCAACCCACATAGTTGCCAGGGCATAAGAAATCTGCCTGATGGTGAAAGACAAATACCGTATGATCTCACCTTTAATTGGAACCTAATCAACAAAAGGAACAAGCAAGCAAAATATAACCAAACGCACTGAAATTGAGAACAGGCTGACAGTGATCAGAAGGGACAGGGGAAGGGATAATGGGAGAAAAGGGTGAAGGTTTTACAGGAACAACTATAAAGGACACATGGACAATAACAAGGCAGGGTGGAACCAGGGGAAGGAGGTGGGGGAGCTGGGGTGGTGGAAAGGGGTGAGGGCAAGGAAGAAAACTGTACTTGAACAACAATGGAAGAAAAAAAAAAGAAATCTGCCTGAAAGTAGGACTTTTCAGGATGCGAACAGCATCAACTACATCAGTGCACTGTTCTAATTTGTCTCCTGAATAGCAAACTGTTTTTTGAAAGTCTTCTTAAAATCATCCTTAGTGAATTCTGCATCATTGCACTAGAAAAAAAAAACAAAGATAATAGCACTCATTATCAGTGTCCTTAGATACCTTGCAACTGACAATGACAGGGACTCTTAACCAGGTTAAGTCTAAAAACACATGCATCTAAGAGTAACTTGTTTCCTAAGAACATGATTACTTCTAGCTGACTAGACAGAAATGGGAAATCATTACTACACTGGAGGACTCTTACTCATTAGGTTTGGGTTGTCTCTTTCAGTGAGAATTAGAAAAGTAATCTAAGATCTTAGTAACAATCAAATATCACAGATGTCTATGTACAACCAGTAACCTTCCTTTCACCTTGTCACTTCTATTCCCCTCTTGAGTCCCCTGTTAAGTATATAGTCCATTCACATGCAAAGGACTCTGCAGTTTGGGATCCCTGAGAGTTCTGAGTGAGTATATTTGGGGAGAGGCAAGAACAACAGAATGACTTTAGGGCAAAATTCTCTCCTTAGGTTTGGAGCAGAAGGAAGTGACTGTTCTCTGTGCGCATCGTGATCACCGTTTCAGAGGGGAATGAACCCTCAGGGGACTGGGGTTCTGGTTACAGAGAAACCTTCTGACTAACTGTTACTCTCCCTGGTGAGCATAAATCCTGAATTTTAAAACTTACTCACTTCCTGAACCCTTGCTTATATGGCCTTTCATACGATGAGAGAAACTCTAAAATTTCCCAGCACCAGGAAATGAAGGCAGAGTGACTTAATGGGAGGAAAATGAAATGGAAACAGGGGAGCCACTTACACTGGGGATAGTAAAGAATTCATTCATGGCCAGAACAAAATATCCCACACGGGCGTAGTCTCCCTTATTTAGTTTCTCCTTGATTTCGTCCAACTTCCTAAGTTTCTTTAGACATCGAGAAGCCTCTTCAACCTGGTGAGAAATATATCAATAAGAGAGTTACTGACATAGTGCAATGGCTGCCTATTGCACTATGAAATATTCCCATCAAATCCAGCAGAAATCCAAGGTGAAGATACAGGCAGCTCATGTTTTCTCCCGGGGACTTCAGATCACAAATCCCACAAGAACCCGTGTCAAGGTCAGATAACATTATGGTGGCCTGTATTGATGGTTTGCTGTTGTTACTCACATAATTTTCATGTGGAATATTTGGGAAAACTTTGCTCTCTAAAGGGCCATAGACATTTAAGAGGAGGAACGCACATTTCTGCAAAAGAAAAAGGCAGTGAATTAAAAAAGAGCTTGGAGAGAATGAGCCCATAGGCATGTCCAGACACACGCATGCCTACCCCCAGTCTTCTGGAAGTTTCCCCAAACTGGTATTGCTCTTGGACACTAACAGGTAATGGCTGAGTATTTTCCTGCAAACAGGTCTGGTGAGTTTGCAGCATGGTTGAGGTGCTATCAGAAAACTAGGTACCACTTGGCATCCACCCCCTCAACCTGTGATTGATGGACTTCTTACATGTGAGGAGAAAGGAGAATGCTTAAGGTTCAAATTCAACTTACCAGCTTCTCTTCAGACCCCATAACCTTCACCAGGACTTCAGATTCACTGTCATGTTGCTGGCTTGGAGGGATTTCCTATTGTGCAGTATGTGCACTTCCAAGCATTCCTGAGATGTCAGATATAAATGAGCAAGGAAAGGACCAGAAACTGTCACTATCACTGTGGCTACCACTGTTCTCCTTTCACGAATGGCCAGTAGGCAAACAAGAAGGATGGATACACTTCTCAGGCTCTCTACAATTTTTTATGTGATGACCCTCCTCCCATAGAGGGTAGTCATAGAGGGTAAGTGGATGGAGGGTAGTGTCAGGGTGAGTGGTGGGTTCTCCTTTCCCCATCTGAGCGGCTGAGAGCACCAGGAACACTACCCACCAGACCAGAGTGCTTGAAACTGTGCCCTAACTCCTGGAGGCCTCAGGCTTCCATTAGCCTGTTGAGAACATGCACAATGAGGAAACCAGACCATGTATCCTTCCTTTTCTAAATAAACACAAAACACAAAGAGCTGGCATTTCCACTTCTGTAAAAAGGGGTTTGTGCTGGGAGAGTTCTGGAAAGGACAGTGACATTATGAAGGCAAAGGACCCAGCCATTGGCCTCAGCCTCCCAGAGGCTAGAGGATGTTTCCCTCCTGCTGCCAGCATCTTTCAACAGCTCCTGGGATCATACTGCTGACCCCTGTACCTCCAGCCCAGCTCTGTCCCCATCAGGACACAAGGAAGAATCCCGCAGAGGGGAGTGAGCATTGCAGGAAGAAGGGTCTATAAAATGAGAGAAGGGGTCTGCATCTCACAAACCTTCTAGTCTCCACAGGTGGGAGGTGACAGCCCTCATGAAAGACTCTGGGACAAGTACCACAGCCAACGAGCTTTCCTCCATCCTGGCAGATTACACATTTGCCTGAGTTTTCCACCTAGAAGATAAAACAATGACCACATCCCCATGAGCTTCTGACAACCAGCACTGTGGGAATCTAGGACTCATGGCCTTTGTGCGAACCTTCAGGGACTCCTCTGTGTTTCACTGAGCTGTGAAGGAGAGCACAAAATGGGGGTTTCAGAAGAAAGATTCTTGTTCTGCTGTGAAGTTCAAGAGAAGCTTTTGTGACCAGACTGGAGACGTTTTTTTCTGTTAAACCAGAGATCCTAACACAGAACCACAGGCAACAAAACAAGAGGATGATTTCATAAGAATCTGAATCATCTCATTACCTTGCAGATAGAACGAGGTTCTGAAATAAAGTGTTAAATCCATTTGCTTACACCACAGTGACTAACATTACTGTTGGAAAAGGGGTATGTTGAGAAACTAATAAGATGGAATAAACATTTGAGAAAGCACTGCATCCTGTATTCTTGGCTGTCGGCTTCCATGAGTTGAATGGCCTGTTAGGGCTTCCTGGACTGTAGATTCACTGCCCAGAGGGACCCAGGGCCTGTGGCACTGCCTTTGGGTTGGAAAGACCATGACACATGGCCAGGTGGTACCTGGGAGGATGGAGGCCTTTGGCTCTAAAAGCCTGAGGAAGATGCCCCATGACTCAGCTTGGCATGTAAGGTGTGGAGGCTCCATCTCTCTGTGGCCAGGCAGTAACAATTGCATTGTTGCATAAACAATGTGAAGGTCTTCTTTCCCCCACTAAAGTACTCAACTAAAACTGTAGTGTTACCTGTCTCAATATAAATAACTACATTTCATTGTATTTGGAGAAGATAAAATTTGACAGCATTTGCATCCAAGTCTTGTAGTACAACTCCTTCCCATTAAACCCAATTAAATTTACAGAGCAGATATGAAGATACACTGTATTATATACAAACACGTGGGTTCATGGCAAAGACCTGGCCTGTGGCTGAGCTCTTTCTTAATGAAGGAAGCACAGTGTAAGGACTAATATTAAAGCTCACTGTCAGGTGCTGCTGTGACATCTGGTAACATTGAGATGGTCTTAGAGGGCCTGTGTGCATGTGCCTCTACCCACCCTGCTGTCCTGGACAGGGTCCCACAGCTAAATAATGCTCCTTGTTAAGGGACTACCACTGACCTGCCCATGTTGGAACATCAGGTTTCAGTTCTCTGTCAGCCATGGAATTTTTTCACATAGACCAGCCACAGCCTCCTATGGAAACATGGGATCCCCCCTCACCCTCCCAGCCCCTGGTTGTCTACTCAGCTATGCAGGGAAACCTTAGTGAGGCCTGTGGGTCTGGCTCTGCCTCTTCTTCCTTGGTCTGGGAGTAGACATGACTAATAACACCCGGTCAACCCATCTGTGCAGTGACAGATGCCATTACTTCCCATCTCTCAAATGTCTGGTGGACATCCCACCCTCATCAATAGGATGAACAGGAGGTGATTGCAACAACAAAACAAAACACTTTGTTGTATGTTTTTAAAACGAAAAGTCAGTAATTACATATGAGTGTGGATCAATCAGGAATGATACGAGCCTCTTTTGCTTTCTTGGTTCTGCCTTCTGAGAAAACCCAGGTAGTTTGAGAATCACTGGAGGGTTATTCTATCCCAGATAGAAACATCCTATCTATCCCAGGGTGGAGAAATTCCTCCCCTTCTGTGACCATCTGAGGTGACATAAATGTGATTGGTTTGGAGACTGGCCCCCACATTGATGAGTGCTGGGTGGAGGGAAGTGGGCTGTTGAGGAACAGGAGGAGGCAAGGATGACAACTTCCACCCTTGTGTACTTTGACTACTTCTGCTTTCTCCAAACACATGCATTCTGTGCCATTTTTCTCCTGGGATTACTCCCTCAGACTCACTGCTGTATCACTTTCCCTTGCCATCCTTGTCCTCCTCCAACATTTACACAGAATCCCTCAGGTTCCAATCATTGGCCATTTGAATGGCCCCAGATGATCCAATCACTTTCAAAGCTGCAGTTCTATTGCTATGTCGCCAGCTCCCAGCTGTCCAGCCTGTCTCCTGCCTTTGTGCACATCCCTGTGTTCACCCAGCATCTTCTCCTGGGCCCTTGGATCACACCCCAAACTCATGCAGTCAAAACTGAATGTATTCTCTTGTCCCCCACATCCACTACCTGTTCTTTCTTGATGCTTCCATTTCATAAAACTACAACTTCCACAGAAAACCTGAGAATCCAACCTGGGTCTATACACTTTTTCTTATTGCAAATAAAAACTCCCCACTCCTTCTCACAGTAATTTTTAAGCTTCCAGTGTTGGTTCCATTGTCTCTGCAGGGTCCATGGCAAACAGGGATGCTGAGACCCTAATGAACCAAACAACCACAGTACACAAAGAACAGAAAGGTCCTTCTTGAAGCCAATGGGCAGAGTAAGAGTAATTTGGTACACAGCCATGTTATTTCTCTTAATGTAGGAAGTAATAAAGATAAAAAGCCACTAAGATGTATTTTGAATCTTGTTTAGGGATTTGGGATAAATAGTCTTCACTTGGGGGAATCAGGACTTTGGTCATTTCTTTTAATTTAAAATATGTCCATATATGAGAAAGTGCAAGAACCAAGGATGTTGGGAACTACCCTGCCTGGTTTCAGAAGCTGTAAGCACCCCATGGCTAAGGCTGAGTGAGTGACCTTTCAGACCATAAGCCACTAAGGAGACAAAGCTTATCTCCTGGGAGGGGCCCTGCTTCTGCTCCTTTTTCTTTACCCTGCCTGGCGCCCAATGCTTGGTGGGTTAGGCAATGACGGGTAAGATTTCCCAAGGGGGCAACGACCTAAGACAGGCACTATCATGGGGAGGACCCAAGGAAGGACTTGGGGGGCTATAGCAAAAGCTGGTGATGGACCCTTACCCTTCGGCTTTGACATAGCCTGAGTCCTCATTCTGTCTGTGAGAAGACTCCTAATCTCTTGGCTGCCTCACTTGCCCTGGTTGACTTATGCCTGAAACAATGAGACAGGGTGGTGCCACCCTATGCTGGAAAGGGCAGGTGAGCAAGCCTAAGAAAGAATACATAAAATCCAATGGGAGGAAGTGGGGAGGGTTCGGTGGGTGGGCTGGAATGGGAGTAAAAGGGAGAAAACTGTACTTGAACAATGATTAAAATAAAAAAAATACATAAAATCCTGTGAAACCTGCTTTGCTAAGAATGTTCTCAATTAAATGATACTTGTCTAGGCAGGAAATGGTTTTGTTCCCCAAAGTTTTGTAGCCCTTTAGCTAACAGACCCTGACTCAGAATAAACCCTTGAAGTTCTTTGTATGCTATTTGTTGTTTGATCCTTACTGCCTGACAATGATTAATGAACCTTACCTGTATTCTTGTATAAATTGAACCCAATAAAATCTCGTCAAGGCAAGGCTTGGCACGCTCTCCCCCTTGAGAGAGTAGCCATCCCATCCCTTTTCCTCCACAGAACTTGGGAGTCCATGTGAATTTGTCTCGTATCTCATCCAAACACCGCAGACACTGTGAGCCGGTACATGCGTCACCAAGGGACATCTTGTCAAGAGCTTCCATTCCATGTTCTGGGAGAATCTTGAATCACATGCACAATGGAGACTGAGACTGCTCCATCATGGAGGCCTGAGACAATTTCCTTCTCTCCACTGTAGGGACTCACAGTCCTTCTCACTCTCCAGAAAGTGGCAACCCTCTTCCCAGAAGGACAAGGAAATAACAAACATAACCAGTACATAAGAATCTTGCACCCCCAATCTTTTAATCAAGACCAGACTCTTATCCCTTTGGCTCTTTCTTTCTCAGCCCATCTGCACACTTGAATTGTCATAGGAGAGCATGTAAAGTAATAACGTCCCTGGTTCCAATGTCTGAAATTCTGATCAATTGATCTGGGTGGGGCTTAGGCATTGGCACTCTCCTTAAATCATATAACGAGTAGCTTATGTATGAAAAGCATCTGGAGACTATTTAACAATTCTAATGTTTAAGTCATAATTCAGAACACTTAAATCAACATTTTGTTTAGAGTGGGATTCAGGTAATGTCATTTTCCAAAGGTGACTCTAGTACAGCCTAAATTGAGATTTAGCCTGAGCCACTGTGGTTATTAATGCATGAGAATCTTGTAAGTCATTGTTGAATTGGCCTGTAATATCTATCCTAGGAAACATTATTATTAACAGGAGTGAGGCTACTCTTCCTGGAACAGTTGTTTTCTCCTCCCCACAGACCGTTGGTTACTGGCAGTATGACAGGACCCTCTGGGTCACCATCTCTTATTCAGGGTCCTGGGAACCATGCACATGTCCCAGAGAAGAAATCCACCACCACCTGCAGCTCTTTTAAGCCACCACCCTAATGATAAAATAAATTCAAGGTCCTCCATATTCCAATTCTTCTTCCAGAAGATCACACCCCTCTCCATTCATCCAAATTGCAAGATGGAACCTATCTGACTTTTCACAGGAAACCAACCACAGTACACTACACTTGCAGTGCTTTTGTACCTTCAGTAGAATGACATGGCCTCTTTTCCGTCAGGCAGCCTCAGCTTTTATCTCCACCCAGGGCAGAGAAGTCACACACTAGTGTGATCCACTGTCAAGTGACCTGAGAAATGATCATGTCACTGCCTGTCTCTTGGGTACTCTAGAGTCCCTGATCCCCAGTACTTATTGTTACATAATAGATCATTGAAGTTGAAACAATCCTCAAGTGCAGGGATATTATTTCTATCTTCTTCATGGACACTGGGCATTTCTATGCACTTCAGTAACTGTATGTTGAAGGAATAAATAAATGAGTATGGTTTCCACTTAGGAAAAGAGAACATTTGTTATCTTTTTAGCAAACATTAGCATATAATAAATGGTTGGTCTGGCTGATTATTTCAGATTACATGACAACACACAGCAGTTGTCACCAGAAAGTATAGGTAGCCCTCTGACGACAGGAAGCTGTCATGTGGTGCCAAGATCGATATTGAAATTTCCAGAAACCAGGGTCTCCACCAACAAGAGAAAATCTGGGAGATACAGAGGACCCACCAAGGTAGTAGTGTATTCTGAGATCTGCCAGTTTGAGTCACATTGGTTCTTGATCAAAAGACAGAAAATATATGAAAAAATTGAACCTGATTGCTACAAAGTGTTGCACCCAGAGATAAGGATAGGACCTGTGTGTTGGAAGTTTCTAACTCCTTCCAAGTAATCCAGATAAAGTAACTCCATACCAATAGAGAATGGTAGAGACATTACAGTAGTCATTGACTAGACCCAACAGTAATTTCTCTTTACTAAACACAGTGGGTGAAATGTCCCAATGTCCAGGTGTTTGAAAGACCCAGAACATCAAATAATGTAAAGTTCTGGACCTCACATTCCCAGTGTTAGATGAAGTCCCAGAGGCCAGCTCTCTGTAAGTTAATGTAGAATTCTGTGAATGTCCTGGGTGGCCATTTCTACCTGAAGAGTACAAGATGGCACCTTGCCCCTTCTTCTCCTTCTCAAGTTCTCATTCATACCAGATGTTGTGAAAAGTACCACTTTGTCCTGAATCTACACTGCATATTACATATTTTTGTTGCCTCCACGGTCTTTTTTCCACCTTCTTCCACCTCAGGGAGAAACCACCTTCACAGATGGAAAGGAAGCCTGCTCAGCCTCTGAGGTGGAGCCAAAGGGGGGCATCAAAATAAACAATTTCCAGGTCAGCCCCTCACACAGGCTACATCCACCTCCCAAGAGCTCCCTCCCCAACAGCAACATCCTCATGAAAAATTTGCCAATAATTTCCACTTTAAAAAAGAATTATGTATGTCTATTTGTTCATTTTACTGAAGGATGGAAGAGTATGTAAGTAATCAGAGAAGAAATAAGCTCTTAGTTTCCTGTGTCATGAAGTAGTATATGGTTTTGTATCTGTCCCAAGATAGACTATCTACTGGATGGGTTCATCTGGATGATGAGGAGCAAACTTTTTCCTTTTCAGATTTCATTAAAGTAAGGAAATAGTAACCTTTATCAAAAAAATCTGGGATGGACTTGAAGATGACCCTATACCCTGTTAAGAAAGGTTTTTATGCATTCCATAATCATGTTTGCTTTTACAACTTTGACAACTTTACAACATCTACATGTATAGCTAAAACTCAGCTATATGAGATCTATTTTAGATGGCTCCTCATCATCCCCATCTGAAATGATTTACAACCCACAGATAACCTTGCATGCAACCTAATGTTCAAAGGAGCAACACTGAAGGCACACGAAATACGTTTGTATGTATGTATGTATGTACATACATAAATAAATAAAGGCACTGGAGAGGAGAAAAAGAAACAATGTTAACTATGTACTGAGAAACCATAAAAATGATACAGTACATATAAAATTAGTTATGTAATGAGAACTTGAATAAAATAATAATTACCTTTTTTGTAGTGGGAAGTGGAAGGATAAATCCAAGCTGAAAGAAAAAAGATCCAAGTTGATGCTTAGCCTGTGTTTAAGTTTTGTGAGTCTGGCATTCCCACCTCCTTATAAATATTTCTGCACAAATGTCCAACTGTCATCTCAAAGTCCAGGTGTCTCATTGAGGAACCATCTCCCTCTCCTCACCTGTTCTTCTAGGTCCATCCACAGAACCCAGAAATACATCTTTGGAAACTTATCCCTTGCTTTTGTGCATTTTAAAAATAACTTTTCAGAGGTTTTCCTTCACAATCTCTTAGGCACCTCTCACCCCCCTCTCCATTCCCACCAGTGCCACTCACACCTGCCTCCTCACACCAGGACTATTCAACCAACACTTGGGTCCCACACCTACAGAATGTCAGACACCTGGACAATGTTGGGCACATAAAGGACAAACCCCAGAGGGGTCTAGAAAGACAAAAGGAATCCATGGAAAAATAAGAATAAGACAATGTGAGAAGGACCTTACTTGAGAGTTCAGGGGGGCCCAGGGAAGGGGGTGACCAGGCAGGTCAGCCAGGGAACATTCAGACAGGAGTGACATGGGAGCTGAGCCTTGAAGATTGACTATACATTTCTTGGGCTGAAAGACAGTGAAGTCAGTTCAAGTCCCTGTGTTGTTTGAGATACTGTTTTTAAAGGTGTCATATCAAAACTCAGGAGAATCCCTGGTTCTGCACTGTGTATGTTATGAGTTTAAACTCCTTAGCTTGACATTAAATCTCTCTGCCAACACCAACAATTGATGGATTATGCTGTATCTCATATAATCTGTCTATATCAACTCAGATCATGTTAATTATGGTTCTGGTTTTACAACACTCTTTCTCTCGAGTGTGTTCCGCCTATTTGTTTGACTGCAGACAGTCCTCTTTTTTTCAGTGCCTACAGTTATCTGCAAGCACCTGGGTCAGAGTGACCTTTTCCCTCCTCCAGGCCCCTTCATGCGTACCAACAGAGCCCCTTTGACAAATGGATGGGTTCCCTTGTACTGAGGTATGAGTGTAGGGCACCTCTTCCTGTGAAAAGGATAAAGTCTGGGGCCCCAAGGCTGCATCCACAAGTCAACATATATTTGGTGAACAAGTGGTGACCTCCTCTTTGACCACAACAAAGAAAGTCACACTTTCTGTCCCCGTCAGTGAAGTACCTCTATCAGAAGTCTTAGGCGTTTTCCACCACAGGTCAGGTGGTCCCTCCAGTTATTTGCTTTTTCGTAGCCTCCTCTGATTTCAAACTCCTTGGGGGTGAACCAGTTTCCATCTTCAGTTCTTATGCACTTCCTTGTGGCTCCTGTAAGACCAGGGTACTTTGATTCTGACCCCTCTTTGTCCTCAGTGCTCAGAGGTTGGCCTCCCACCACCTTGGATCTGATGTCACCCATCTGGGTTCAAGATCAATAGCAGGAGCTTTTGATCTCCCCTTTCATGCTTCAGGACCCCTAAACACAGCCTGTAAATTGCCTCCAAGGAGACTTGCTGCTTTCAATTAAAAATCTCAATAGGGGACCTGCAGCTCACAATGGCACTAAGGCAACATCCATGTCCTGTATTACAACAATTTTCTTTGACTTTACCATCATTATTGAGCAGATATGTTTCCATCTTTGAAATCATGGGTAGCTGATACTAAAATAATTGTGAAATATTAATCAGTAGAAAGTTTAACTGATAATGTAAAAGATATTCATATACTTCATGACATTATCATTAGATAAAAGGAAATTAAACCACAATCAAATTCTACAGTCTAAGCACTAGGGTGGCCACTGCAAAAAGACAATAACAAGTGTTGGTGAGAATGCAGAAAAATTGGAACCCTCAGATTTTGTTGATGAGAATTAAACTGGTGCAATACCTTTAAAAATTGTTTGTTTTTTTCTCAATAATATCAACAGAGAATTACCATATAATTCTGTAATTCCACTCCAGGGTATATACTAAAAAGAATTTTAAAAATGTGTTCACAAAAAAACTTTACGTGAAACAGTATTATTCATGATAGCTAAAGAATGAGAAAACCCTAACTGAAGGCTAAATGCAATACTGCATATCCATATTATGGCTCACACAGGACAATAAAAAAGAAAGAAGTATAATACATGGTACTGTGTGTATGAACCTTGAAACTTCATGCTAAGTGAAGGAACCAGTGACAGAAAGGCAGATGTTATGTGAGTCAACTGACATAAAATGCTTAAATAGGTCCATTTATAGGTCAGAACACAGATTAATCAGTGCTTAGGGTGGGGCGATGAGCCTGGGTGGGAAAGGGCACTGACAGCTGAAAGGCATCGGGTTTCCTTTGGTGGGGACTAAATGTTCTAAAATTAGATTGTGAAGTTGGTTTTATAGTCTTGTGAATGAACAAAATAAAAATATCAGTAAAATCTATACTCTAAATGGTGAATTATACATGTGTGTGTTATATCGCAGGGAAGCTGTTTCAAAAGTGTTATGATACAAACATTTATTTATATTAGTGTTCTCATAGCCATATTAAAAATAATCTGATATGAAGTTCATCATCTATACAATCAGTAAAAACTTTTATAATGTTAAAATCACAAAACACTTTACATTCATCTGTAAACAAAATCTCAAAGTCACAGCAGGAGGCAGGCTTGTAATTATTTTCCATTTCTTAGATGGGAAGTTTCCAGGCTCCAGAAGGTCCCAGTCTTCACACTGTCTCTCAGCAGAGCTGAGGCTGGGATCAGGTTTTCTGACTCTAAACTCTGTTGTCTCCTCACTGCATCTAACACCCTGTCCTGGTGGTGATTATCCAGGTGGGATACAGGACGTGAACGTGGAGGCTGAGGACCTCTTCCCTGTTATATCTGACTCAAAGTAAAATGTGCAATATTTTCCACCCAGAGACTGACATTCCTGCACTTGTCTTTGGGCATCCTCACGGGCACTTCCACGTGGGGGTGAGCACTTGATATGCAGCACTGCTTAAAGTGCAAAAAACATCATCTTAGGGATCCCTTCCTTCTTCTTTCAAGCCACATGGGGCCTCAGTTCCTTGAATGACAGGAAATTGACATGGGTAATTATATTACTGCATGTGATTCCTTCACAGAGGGGCTGCAAATTAAAATAAACCCTGAAACCTACCTCGTTCCAATTTCCTCTTAATTAACAGCCCCTTCTTCTCTCCACAATTCACAGGAAGTATTTCATCTTGAAAATCCACAGGCACACCTGGCTGCTCTCCTGTCCCTGAAAGAGAAGATACTTCATTCTGTCTCATTTTACAATTGCACATGGAAAACTTCCTGTCATGTAGTTGTTGTTTCTATAAAGTCATAGAGGTACCTGGGGAACTTTATTCCACAAATCTGCAGTTTCAGAGTCTTTCTTTCAGTGACATTTCTTTTCATTGACGTTGTGGTTTCAGATACCCAACCACAGAATGTCTACTTTGATTTCACCTCTCAGACCCCCACAATCAGAATGTTTTAGCAGAGACAGCAGGAGTCAGTGCAACTGTCTTAGCTCCCCATGCAGTCAGCCCCCTGATACTTACGTGACAGTGGTACATACAGCTGCTGTCCTGGTAGAAGGGAGCTCTGCAGCTGGGCTACTTCCTGCACATAGGTCATAGGTCACTGGAGGCAAAGTCCCAGACTGTACCTGTCTCTTCCTGTGTGAGCTCTGACTCTGGAGCAGAGGGGACAGTGATGGGGGTGACCTAATGGAGATGGTGTCTGCCTGCTGTTTGTGTTCACTGCTTTGCCTCATTTCTCCCCCACATCAGCCTTCTCCAAAGCTGAAAGGGGAGCCCAGGAAGCTCTAGAGCAATCTGCAAATTGCATGGTTGGCTGGACCATTTGCAGTCTGACAATGGTGTGCCCTTTATCAGAAGATAAACCCATTTCTCTGATCATCTAATTTTGTGATCTTGTCTCCTCCTATCCACACCCTTATCTGTTAGGGTTCTTTGGACACTAAAGGCATCCCTCCCTAAGGAAGACAGAAATGGGGGATAAGTTGTGACCAAAACAAAAGTGATGGGGGATCATTGTTATTATAAAGACTGACAATTCTGGATTCTGTTCAGACTCTTACTGGGAATGATGCCTCATACTTTGCCCAACCAGACCTGCAGGGTGCAGTTTTCAGAGTTCCCAGGTGATTCAGATTTAATTTTGATTTTATTTTTTGGAAATGCTTTTGCCAGGCTTGTATCTGATTCTTCTTGATGAAAAGTCTGAGTGACAATAGGAGATTATTAGAAAGAAAGAGGAAATTGCAGTCATTAAAATGGTACACATTTTGTACCATTTTGTAACAGTGAAGGAAGAGCAAAGATCCAGGCACCTGAGGAGGAAACACCTAGGATGTATGGGAGGTGGAGAGGTATTAATGATATCTGTCTTCCAGAGCTGCTCTGAGTATTCTTTCTAGAAAGAAACCACCTTGCCCAGGTCTTCCACCACTTGGGTGCTGAGTCTGCCACTCAGCACCAGATACGATAATCAGGGGCTGGTGCCAATATCTGTTCGTCTCATGCAGAGTGTCTCTGGACAATGTCCCCGCACTGATTCTCAGTTGTTCAGTGGTGGGATGTGGTGGTGACAAATGCTATATGAACATCATGGCCAAAGAGGTCAGTTTGGAGAGACTGTCCTGTCCCAACCTCTTTCCAAACCCCATCAGCAATGAACAGAACTTTCCAAATCCTGGCTGCTATATTCCCCTTAGGAACCTCAACAACTGTAAATGCCTCTTTTTCAGGGCCACTGTGTGTGTCCTTGGGATTGTACCTCTTGTGTGAAAGCCAGGCCTTCATTTGTCTCTCATGCAAACACGGTGACTTCAACTGTAAGGGATGATTATGGGAGACTTAAACAATTGTGGTTTAGGAAATTTGTTTAATACTGAAGGAGACCAATTGAATGAATTTGGTCCTAGACTCCAGTGGTCCCAGTAATCGTCCCTGGCTGGTGGAGTGGTATCCTCATGGGGGAGACCGCCAGGATCTGCTGTGTCAGGTCACTTTGTTGGGAGGCAACTCTCCATGGGTTGCCACATGCCCCAGAGTATCTTTTCAAGGATGTGTGAATACAAATAGTTCTAGAAGCCAGAGTTAATGTAGCCCTCCAGGTCAGAAGGCAAATTTGTTTCCCAACCAATATAAAACAGAGAATATCTCCCTCCTTAGAAATATCTCAGGATAATAAAGCCTCCTTCTCTCCTCAGAGGAGGTTTTTTTAAGTTCCAAGGTGATGGTCACATTCCGTCTCTTGATACAGATTTGCATTTTTAGAGGAGTGTAATTTAATCTGAACTGACAGAATGATGTACTTAATACTTGCACATCTCATTGTAAATTTTATCAGGAAAAAGCAAAAATAAATACAAATATTGAAGTCTAGTTAATATAATATACATGCTAAAGTGTTTGGAAGGAAGTATGCTATTGTTTGCTACTTATAAATGTTTCAATATTGAGGATGGTTTTTTAATAAATAGAGAAATGGATAAACAGACATAAATGTGATAGAGCAAGAATAGTACATGTTAATTGTGAATCTATGTTTACTGTTAATTTTCCCAAGTTTTTGGTAAATTTTAAATTTGTATAATTCAATAGTTGGATAAAGAGGTTTTGGCAAGAAAAAAGCATAGTAACCAAAAAGTGACAGTTAAAATACAAGAGAATATTTGTCAGCCGCACAATAGATTTTAGAAGACAATGCAGTAATCATATCAGTATATTGAGGAGAAAGAAATGTTCACCTACAATCTTTAATCTTGATAAAAAATTATTTCAAAATAAAGATCAATTTGCACCTACCACCCTTGGCAGTGTACCACCTTAGACACCCTCACCAAAACAATGAACAATTTTTCCAGGTAGACCAAAGGTGACACCAAAGAAAGAAGCAATGATGAGTATACAAAATGATGAAAGATTCATGGAAGTAAATAGTGACTGCAAAATTATAATAGTTTCAAAATTTATAATTAACAAGATGAACAACAAAATGTAAAACTACAATAGCCTAATGATAAAGATGGGGTGTTTAATTAGAGGGAATCCATGCTAACTCCTTGACATTCTTTGAGATTAAGGCATGTTTAAAGAGATTACAGAAGTTTTGTCTCCAATTTCCACAGCAAAAGAGAAAAAAAATGAAGTGTAGAATTCTATCTCAATCAATAGATAGCAGACAAGAGACACAAAAATACACAAAAGGTGTGGTTAGCAAGAATATAGATATATTAGTTCACATATGTCAGGGATCATAATTAAAGCAACAAGTAAAACATATCTATTACAAGATTAGGATTATCAGAGAAGATTACAAAAAGCTGTGTCATTATGAGAGGAATAAAACAAAGCTGCATAAGAAGGTTTAATGAAGAGATAAAAAACAGAAAACATAAAAGTTAATGTAACAGAATTAGCCCTGTGAAAAAAGAAATTTGAAGGCAAAAAGCATTAATAAGGATGAAGAGGAACACTCTGTAACTACAAAAGAAGACATCCAGTAAGTGATTACCACCATAAATAGTGTCAAAGTATTTAAAGTAAAACAACAGTACAAGAAGGAATTGGCAAATATTCAATCATTTGGAAAATTTAATACATCACTAAGTACAAGCCTGATGGATCAAGGATGACTTATTACTGTGGATCCCATAGATTTAAATAGTAGGTTTCATAAAAAAATATGTATACAGGGAGAAGCCCTTGCCAACATATAGTTCAAATGTATACTATTTTAAAAGGACTTAAAACATTTACAAATATTGATCACACATTAGGTTCCAAAAGAACTTTCAACAAATTTTAAAGACTTAATGAAGTCAATTCTTCATATGGTATTCCAGATATCTACTTTTCATTCCTAATTTACTAATATCTACATTCTTGGAGATGTCATAGTCCAGATAAAATACCATAGTTCATAACTTCCCTAATAGCTGGCAGAACCACCAGTTTAACACTTGATGAAAAAGAATCCCAGATGGTGTCAAAGGAGGTGGGATCTACACTAACCTCCTTCTCAGACCAAATTGGAGTTCCAAGTAAATTATAGAAAAATATCATGAATAACCAACTGAACAATAGCTGGAGAAAAGCCTTATAACCAAGGACTTATCGAAGAAACTGCATCACCACAATGAGAATGGTAGGAAGTCCCGCAGTGTGAGAAGGCTGGCTGGGCTCCCACAGGCAGCAGCTAGAGTTCCAAAGGAATATTTCAGTGACCAGAGGGTGTCCCCAAGGCCAGCACACCAAGACTATAGCACCAGACCTGGAAAAGGCCCCAAATAACATCTGGGTATGAAAAAGTGGCCTGGTTTCTGTGTGCTAGGGAGAGATGGCTAGAAACACAGAGAGCCTCTTAACAGGCCAATGCACAAAATTTTGTTTGCAGCCACTTACTCTGGGTCCTGGCAGAATAAGGACAGAGTGGACAAGAGCCTCATGAAGAGAGTCTGGGTTTGGTGGCTCTGGAGAGAGACCTGAAGAGTGAGCCTATGGCAACCCTGTGCTGCATCATTCCCCATATTGCAGAAGTCATCTTTCTCAGGCAGAGCACTCCCTTCCACGAGGCATCAGCCTGAGGGAAGCGATAGCCGCACCTGCAGGAATCCCTCTTGCCCCACACTGTGGAGCTTAAGCTGGGCTGCTGAGGAGTACAGATAGAAGCACCTTCAGTGATTAAGCCCTAACAGAAAGCCTGCAAGAAGAGACAGATTGTTGGGAAATCTGGGACTTTAGTAGACCATTCCACAGGTCCCATGATGGTAAAAGCTGTCCTCGGGGTCAGCCAGGTCCAGCAGAGGAGCCATGATGTGTAAATCGCTTATAACTCCAAACATATTGCCTAGTGCCAGTCACAGTCAGCATGTGACAGTGTGACACAGGTCTACCACAGAGTCTGTACTGATTTCTCAAATACATAGAAACAAACACAAAAAAATCAGCCAAAAAAGGGAAGCAAAGAAACAAGCTCCAATTGAAAGAACAAAATAATTCTCCATAAGAGTAAAATGAAATGAAGGCAAGCAAGGTATCAGACATAAAGTTCAAACTAGCAATTATAGGATACTCAACAACATAAAAAAAGACATGGAAACTATAGAAAAAGGCCAGTCAGAAATAAAGAATGCTATATCTGAAATAATACACTGGAAGGAATAAATAGTAGGTTAGATGAAGCAGAGTGTCGAATCAGTGATTTGGAAAACAAGGCAGAAAAAACACCCAATCAGAGCAGCAAAAGAAAA